CCCCTGTGCCGGGGAGGATGTGGCAGCAGGTCCTGCACAGGCTGCAGGCCAGGAGAGCAGCCTTTCCCCCTGCCCAGCTCTGCCCGCGGGTCTCTGGGGTGGGTCAGCGTGGGTCGGAGGCACCTCTGCTGCACAAGGGCTTGGGAAGGGCAGGGGTTCATCTCTCCCAGGCTGGTCAGGAAGGTGATAGGAACCTAGGCCATAGCTACTCATCTCTGGGGTGTCCTCTGGATGCCTGGAGGACTCAAGGCGAAAGAGCAGATCTGTTGTTTTCAGTGATCTAATGGGGCTATTGAGATGAAGGATCCAAATTCTTCCTGGAGGTGCACGTGAAAGGATAACAGATGATGGGCACCAACTGCAGCAAGGGGAGCTCCAACTGGACACGGGGAAAATATTTTCCCAGTGTGAGTGATGCTACCCTGGGATAGGGCCAGAGTGACCCAGGGAGGTGCTGTGATGTCCATCCCTGCAGATTCTCAAGGCTCATATGCAGACAAGGCCCTGAGCAACCTGATCTACTGTGATGTTAGAGCACGAGATTGGAGCAGAGGCTGAAGGTCCCTTCCTGAGCCTTGCTCTGCTCCCATGGCTGGTGGTGCTGGGTGGGCTTCCCATGCACCAGGTGTTTCTTTACCAAAGCTGCCTGGTTTGGCTGCAAGTTTTAGTCTTGTGCCCCCCCAGGAAGGGCTCAGTGCCCGGGGCAGTGGGACTGCTGGGCTGTGCCTGCCCAGAGGAGCCCTCCGGGACCACCACGTGTGGAGGAGGGTGCAAGCCCTGCTGCTCTGCCCCTGCAGGCCTAGGGGCCATTGTCACCCCCGTGTCCTTCCCACAGCTACGAGCTGCGTGTGATTATCTGGAACACGGACGATGTGATCCTTGATGATGTCAACCCCGTGACAGGAGAGCCCTCCAGTGACATCTATGTGAAAAGGTCTGATGGGAGCCAGAGGGAGGCCAGAGCCTGGCTGTCCCGCTCCCTGCCCTGCCTCCTGGGAGCCTCTGCTCCTCCCTGCCCCTCTCCAGGGGCTGCTGTGCCCCGGAATGTTGCTCTGTTGAGCTGCTTTGACCCTTCCTTTCCTGCTGCCCCATGGGCTTCTGTCCCTCCATCCTGCTCTGCCTCTGGGACTGGCTCACAGGGGGGAGGAGATAACTGAGTTTCTCCTGCAGCTGGATAAAGGGTCTGGACCATGACAAGCAGGAGACAGATGTTCACTTCAACTCCTTGACCGGGGAGGGCAATTTCAACTGGAGGTTCATCTTCCGCTTCAACTACCTCCCGACTGAGAAGGAGATCACCTACAAGAAGAAGGACTCAGTCTTCTCTGTGGAGGAATCAGAGTTTCGGGAACCAGCTGTTCTGGTCCTCCAGGTCTGGGATTACGACAGGATTTCAGCTAATGACTTCCTAGGTATGATGTGACCTGCTGGATGTGGGCTGACCTGTCCCTCACCTTGCTGGATCATTACAGCCTTTTGCCCAGCTCTAGGAGAAGGGACACCAGGAGAAGGGACATCAGATGAAGCTCTTCAGCTCAGCAGTCACCTGGGCTGGTTTTTCACATGTGAGATACAGGCAGAGCCTGGAGATACCTCTCCTACACAGACACGTTGAGCTTGTGTGCTTGTCCAAGGGCCTTGCTGTCCTATTTCAGGGCCTGTCATGTCACAGGACTTCCAGGTTCTCCTTCATCACAACCTTTCTGATAAACTTGCTCCTTTGCTCTCCCTTAGATCTGCAGATCCCAAAGACTTGCCCAAAGAGCAGCTTCCCCAGGAGTTTACATTGTGGGCACAGGGACTGGCAACCTTTGGGAGACCAACTGCACTTGAGTTGCAGTGACCCATCGCTGGGGCCTTGGAGCTCCCTGGCTGCTCTGGTTCTTCCAGTAACCAGACCTGCTGGGCTGGGCACTCAGCAGGGCCTGCTGACAAAGCTGGGCTGGTGCTGATTCCACCCGCGCTGCGCTAGCATGGATTCTTCTCTCCTGCTTCTTCTGCCATCCCCAAGTTCATAGCACTCTGTTCAGTTGTCCCTCTCTTCTTCAAACTATGTCCTCCTCAAAAAGGAGGCAGCCCCTTGTCCTGCAGTTTCTCGGGCAGGACAGAACTCTACTCATCAACTTTCACAGGATAACAGAATCCCAGACTGGTTTGGGCTGGGAGGGACCTTAAAGACCCAACTCCCCTGCACGGGCAGGGACACCTCCCACCAGCCCAGGTTGCTCCAAGGCCCATCCAACCTGCCCTTCAACACTGCCAGGGATGGGGCAGCCACAGCTTCCCTGGGCAACCTGGGCCAGGCTCTCACCACCCTCACACCAAAGAATTTCCTCCTCATGTCTCATCTCAGTCTCTCCTCCTCCAGTTTTAATCCCTTCCCCCCTTGTCCTCTCACCACAAGCCCTTGTAAACAGCCCCTCCCCAGCTTTCCTGGAGCCCCTTCAGGCACTGGAAGGTGCTCTAAGGTCTCCCTGGAGCCTTCTCTTCTCCAGGCTGAACACCCCAACTCTCCCAGCCTGGCTCCAGATCAGATCTGCTCCAGCCCTCCCAGCATCTCCGGGGCCTCCTCTGGTCTCACTCCAGGTGCTCCATGTCCTTCTTGTGTTGGGGACCCCAGCCTGGTCCCAGCCCTGCAAGGAGTTCTCACAAGTGCAGAGCAGAGGGTGAAAATCCACTCCCTTTACCTGCTGATCACTCTGCTGGGGATGCAGCCCAGGACATGGTTGGTTTCTGGGCTGAACCTTCCATGGGGTCTTCAAAGGGCTTTACCACTAGGAGGCACTTCCAATTCGTGCTGCTCAGACACCGAAGGGAGTGTTAGACAGCAGTCCCAGCAATCCCTGGCATGTGCAATCTGAGGAGCTTCTAGGCATGAAGGAGCTCCTGCACTCATTATGGCAACCTCCTGCTCCAAGCAGGGCTAGTAGTAGGTGAGGTTGCTCAGGGCCTTGTCTGGGTGAGTTCTGAAAATGTCCAAGGATGGAGATCCCAGCACCCTTCTGGGCCCCTTTTCATGGCTGCACCATTCTCATAATTCTCATGGTTTTTTTTCCTTGCAGCAGCTTGTGTCCCTTGCCCTACGTGCTTCCATCACCCACTTCTGAGAAGTGTCTGGTTCCATCTGCTCTGTCACATCCCCTCTCCCTGCACCTCTTCTCTCTGGGCTGGACATGCAAGGGTCTCTCAACCCATCCTGCTATGGTGCATATTCTAGCCTTGACCATCCTCTCTAGCTGATTGTCACCTTTCTTGTGTTGGGGACCCTAAACTGGACACTGTCCAGATGCAGCCTCACTGGAGCTGAGCAGAGGAGAACCCCATGTCCCCTGGCTGCTGGGTCTGCTTTTGCCAGTACAGACCAGGATGTGGTGAGACTGATTTGTTCAGGGCCTCAGTGCCCTGGTGGGACAGGAACTCCTTCCAGGGAGGGTGGGACACAAAGCCAAGCAGGGAAATGAGCTGAGGCTGTTTCAGATGTGAGACAGACTTGAAATCTTGAAAGAGTTTCCCAGATTCCATAGTTTTTATTGACACTTGAAAGGAGTGAGGGGAAAGGGAGCTTGGACACATGAGAACAGGGTGGGACAGGGTAAAGGACTGAAAATATCCCAGTACACCACACGCATCAGAGGAGAGAACAGACTTGAAATCTTGAAAGAATTTCCCAGATTCCATAGTTTTTATTGACACTTGCAAGGAGTGAGGGGAAAAGGAGCTTGGACACGTGAGAACAGGGTGGGACAGGGTAAAGGAGTGAAAATATCCCAGTACACCACATGCAAACCAAGCTGGCTGCATCAGAGGAGAGGCAAGACCTGGGGCTTCTGCTTCTTAGTCTCTAAGTCTTGGGCTGCTCCTTTCTTGTGCTGAGCTTCAGGTTCTTCCCCTGAAAAAGTGCAGGACCCTGCCAGATCATTGCAGCAGCTGGGACCTCCTCATGGTGGTGGGAACAGGGCTGAGAAAGCCAAATGGTGTGTGGGGCTGAGCCTGGGGTCTCACCGTGAGCTCTCCTCTGTGCCTGCAGGCTCCATCGAGCTGAAGCTGCATGACATGGTGAGGGCAGCCAAGAGCTCAGAGCACTGCACCATCAGGATGGCCAAGGAGAGCGCGGCGCCGCGCTTCTCCATCTTCCGCAACAAGCGCACGAGGGGCTGGTGGCCCTTCATCAAACTCAGAGACCTGGAGGATGAAGAGAGAGAGGAGAGGGAGAACAAGCAGAAGAAGAAGAAGAAGAGGAGGAGCCGCTCAGTCAAACCAGAGGATGTGGAGTTCACAGATCCCAGTGGGAACAAGTACCTGCTGACGGTAAGGCAGGGCAGCAGGGACCAGTTTTCTGCCTCTGCCTGGACATGGCAACCCATCCTGTGTGCACATCAGCTGCAGATGCAGCAAGGACCCAGATGCCCAGGACTTTGTGCAGAGTCCTGGAGACTTGTCCCACCTGCTGCCCATCTGGTTCACCTACCCCAAGGTGCTGGCTGTGGTGGCAGGCAGGGATGTCCAGCTCAGTGCCTTCCTCTGAGCTTCCCAGGGAGCAAGGGGCACCCAGTACCCAGGCAAGACAACAGCAAAAGCTTCTCCTAGGGTGTCTGCCTGCCCTAGACAAGCAGGGGCAGACTTGGCCTGTTGTTTGGGTGAGTTTTGCTCAGTGCTGGGCTGCCCATCTGGTTCACCCCAAGGTGCTGGCTGTGGTGGCAGGCAGGGATGTCCAGCTCAGTGCCTTCCTCTGAGCTTCCCAGGGAGCAAGGGGCACCCAGTACCCAGGCAAGACAGCAGCAAAAGCTTCTCCTAGGGTATCTGCCTGCCCTAGACAAGCAGGGGCCAATTGTCCCAGGGCAGACTTGGCCTGTTGTTTGTCCCCAAGGGTTAGTTTTGCTCAGTGCTGGTGTGAGAGGCTGCAGACAGAACCTGAGCAGTGCAGTTAGTTTCTGGCCAGGCCACAGTTTCTGGTGGGTGGGAGGTGGGAGGCCCTGCAGCTAATGCCTGGGGAGAAGAGGTCAATGCTCTGAGCATCTCTGGGTGGAACTGGGAGAAAAACACCCAGTCCTGGCAGGGCCTGTGGTCGTCTGGCTGCTCTGCAAAGCAAAACGTGTGGCTGTGGCTCAGACATGTTCCCCCTCCAGGGTAAGGTGGAAGCAGAGTTCCAGCTGCTGACGGTGGAGGAGGCTGAGAAAAGTCCTGTTGGTTTGGGCCGAAAAGAGCCTGAACCCCTGGAGAAGCCCAAGTGAGTATCTGTGTGTCACTGGAGCAGGGATGGGTAGTGCCCTGTTCTCAGCGTGGGGACAGGGGGCATCTGCTTGTCAGGAAGCTGAGAGCAATCAGGGAAGCCCTGGGTGGTGGGTCCTGCAGGACTTGGGCTGCCAGGGATTCCCAGAACTCGAGTGGGTCCAGCAGAGCTTGTGGCTGCAGCTCCTGGGCCAGGGCTGATCTCAGCCAGGCACCCGAGGCAGCTGTGCCTGTTCACAACGAGCAGCTCTGGTTTGTTCCCCTGGGTGCAGAGCAGCTCTGCAGTCCTGAGCCTCAGGCCTGGGTGTCTCCAAGGCTTTCACAGGCAGCCCCCAGGGTGGTCACAGAATCACAGACTCACCAAGGCTGGAAAAGACCTCTAAGATCATCCAGTCCAGCCTATGACCCGACACCACCACATCAGCCAGACCATGGCACTAAGTGCCACCTCCAGCTTTTCCTTGGTCCTGTTTGGAAGCAGCAGGAAGAGCTGAGGAGCCATGAGGGTGGCCTGGCACCAAAGCAGAGGGGCCAACGTGCTGCTCAGTGCATGGAGCCTGTGCTCACCTGCTCTTCCCTTCCTGTTCCAGCCGGCCAAAAACCTCCTTCAACTGGTTTGTGAATCCCATGAAGACCTTTGTGTTCTTTATCTGGAAGCGGTACAAGAAATACATCATTGTGCTCTTCATTGTTGCTGTTCTGACCATCTTCCTGGTTCTTCTGATCTACACCATGCCTGGGTACATCAGTGAGAAGATCATCAATGGATAAATGCTCTCCAGCACAGGACTGCTCAAAGGGGTGATTATTGCAGGAATTGAGGCTGGACTAAAGAGTTTAAAGAAATCCTGCAGGTTCAGGGGCAACCTTCAGAGTGAGAGACCTGCAGAAATGTCCTGTCTTTGAGGAGTCACTTTTCATGCTAAATAGCCATGAGATGCCTGGGAACTGAGTAACCAGCCTGCCAAATAAGGCAAACTCCTTGGAAAGGACAGTTACAGCTTTGGGGGAAAAAACAGTTCTTTGTGGGACAGGGGTGGGAGGGTGGGGAAACGGGATCTGTTGGGGCTGCCCCACAGACATGGCAGCTGGAACCAGCTCTTGCCACCAAGAGCAGAGACAGGGACATCCAGAGCCATCTGTGCCCTGGCAACACTTGGCACTTCCCAGCCTGAAGAATTCAAACCACATTGTGCAGGGGGGAGGCAGGTCTGGTGGAGGTAGGACCTGGAACGGGGTTCCCTAGGGAGAAGGATGACAGAGCCAAGGTCCTCCTGCCATGCCAAGAGCACCAGAGCAGCTCCTGGCTCTGGAGTTGGCTCTGGATGTGGCAGCACTTTCTGGTTGTCACAAACTGCTTAAGAGCTTTTCCTGCTGGGTTGAGTTCAAACTCCATTTTGGCTTTTCATTTCCACAGGAATGAAGGGTCCTTGGCTGCTGTTTTGGGTGCTGCTGGAGCTGCTGGAGCTGCTCCCAGGAGCCAGGGCCAACCTCCTGGAGGCTGCCCCTTGTCCTCCCTACCAGCCAGCACATCCTGGGACACCAGCACCGGG